TATTATTAGCAATACAATCTCAAAGACAGATTTATGAATTATAATAATAATTCCTTTATTTAATATAATATTCAATAGACTTTATCACAATGTGTTCAGAAAGTCTAGGATAAAAATGATAATTTTTATAGTGCTCCTGGCAATACTGCTTAAGCTACTATAATATATGTTGATTCAAGATTTGTATAACTTCTTATATAAAAAACAAGAATACTTTGTCAAAAGGGTGTAGAAAGGAGTTTGCGCTTGACTACCTACTCTCATAAAGTGCAAACTACTTTTCTTTGAACAATTAAAACTACGTAATAACTAATTAGACATGATGATTAGGAATTACTATCTAAAAGGACTTGTTCATATTTAATTCTAATAACTATGATATATGTTGTTTTTATACAAATTCAAGATATAATTTCTAGACTATACGAATTCATGTTCACTTTATCACTTAAATTCTATTGGTTAAATATTCATTTACTCGTTCATTTGCTCGTTTATTTAGTTATTCATTCATTTATTTGTTCGTTTAGTTATTCATTCATTCGCTCGTTCATTTGTTCGTTCACTCGTTCATTTGTTCGTTCACTTGTTCGTTTGCTTGTTCGCTCACTTCACGTGATTTGATCTTTATCCAATAAAATATAAGATATTTATAATCCAATAATATGAAATATTATGACGAAAGATCATTATACAATATTATATATTAGATTTTTATTTATATTGTTACTGTTTTGAGCTTTTGAGCACTTGTATTTATACATGTTTTTGTGTTATAATGACACAGTGTGACATAGTAATGTGCAGCATGGTGCAGTTGTGATGCAACAGATCTTCACTAATATTACAAAATTACTGGTTCTCTTCTAAATTACACAAAATTTAACTATATTATAATTAATAATCTTGTTCTATATCTAAGTACCAATAGCAAAAATAGAAAATAGAGACTAAACTAATATAGAAAATGATAAAATTTGCTAAGAAAATGATGTGATTAATATATTCAAATAAAGATAATAATGAAATAATATAAAAAGATGAGTAATACGAAAAGGAAAAAGAAGAAAATATAAAAAAGTAGAATATTATCGAACTAAATACATAATCCAAATATCATTATGACTAATTTTTATCATAACTGTATCTTCTATTTATGTATTCTTATATTAAATTATTGATGATATTGAATCAATAACAATATATATTAGATCTTTGTTATTTATTAAATTTTGATATATAATTTTGATTGTAAAATATTAATATATTACTTTTTAAATTGATAAAAATTTAATATATAATGATTTTTAATATAATATTTCAATAATTTGCTATCAAAATCACATAAAAATATCACTATTTAATTTACTTAGACATGATAAATCAAATAATTATATTCTCATGTGATTCTGATAATTAATTATCAAAATATTATAATATTTTCTTTTATATATATATATTATAAGTTGTAATAAATCTATATTAATTTAGAATCAATCTAGATTGATTTGAAATTAGATATCAAATTAAGGATTTTAAGCTACTTCAAGTTGATATAATTCTAATTCTAATTCCTAATATTAACAAATTATGAACTAATCTAGGTTGATTCTGAATCAATATGGCATTCTATTCCAACTTATGACATATAAAATTATAATTATAATAATTTATACTATGTACACATTAATTGTTAATTATTATTAATATTAATATTAGAAACTTCTAAAAATTATCTATGCTATACATAATTTACCAAATCATGCAAAAATTTCTAATGTCATATATAATTACGGATTCATGAATTATAACAATGAAATTTTTACTTCATAAAACATAAAATCCATTATAATGTAATTAGTAAATATAAATTTTCTTGTTATAGAATTAATGAACACAAATAATATTAAAAAACTGAGTTTGAATAATTGCATTAAGGTTGCCAAATAATCAAATAATCATGTCAATCAATCGATCAGACAATTTTGATAATTTTCATCTGTCAACTTTCATTTTGCAATGGCTCTTTCTCGAAAACTTGCAGCAGCCAGCATCAATCGCACACCAATAATCGCACCCTACACTGTGACTGCAATTAGGAGACTCTTCGAGATCTCAAACGGTGTTCGAGCAGAGCAACACCAGATTATTCCATCACCGAGTTGGGCTACTGGAACAAATAGACGCTCTGATGGTTCTTTACTTTCTAAAACCGTCATAAATGGTGTGTTGCTGTTGTTGTCGAATAATTAGATTTTGATTTTGATTAAAATGTATTTTTTAGGCAGCAAATTGACTCGATATGTTTAAGGATATCCTGATTAACAAAACCTCATACGCTATTTTTGCAAAAGACAAGTTCGCCTTTTATTATCTACGACTTGGCTTAGACTAGAAATAGATAGATTCTATATAGTTCCTACATTATTCTACACAATTACTTTTAATAATTATCAATAACGATAATAATTTTTTAAAACTACTGTTGCTAGTTTCACCCTTGATCCAAAAACGCTTTTCATCTTCCGGTCCAAGCGTAGTGGACACTTCTAAATCAACCATAGTCCCCGATTTTTCCAAATACAAAAAATATCCTAGCGGTGACTACTCTAGCCGGACCTTCACTTATCTAATGGTCGGCGCGACTGGTGCACTGACCGCTGCCAGTGCCAAAGCAACGGTCACCGATTTCCTAGTAAACCTGTCTGCAGCGTCAGATGTATTAGCGATGGCAAAAATCGAGGTTGACTTGAGCAAGATCCCCGAAGGAAAGAATGTCACAGTCAAGTGGCGTGGAAAGCCGATATTTATAAGACATAGAACACCAGATGAGATCGCGGAAGCGAATAGTGTCGCTTTGGGTGAATTGAAAGATCCACAGGCTGATGCTGATAGAACAAAGAAACCTGAGTGGCTTATTATGCTGGTGAGAACCTATTCAGATTTTCCGGGATTAGCGTGATTATTATGATGCTTCTATATATTCATTTTATTTATTTACTATTATAATCGTTACAATTGTTACAGGGTGTCTGTACTCATCTAGGTAATTAATTTCCTAAATATTTCGAGATGGGAATCAAAAAGATATTTGATTTTGCTGAATCATTTTTTTATTTAGGATGTGTACCAATTGGAGAAGCTGGTGATTTTGGCGGTTGGTATTGCCCATGTCACGGATCCCACTACGATATATCTGGACGTGTCAGGAAAGGCCCGGCACCTTTAAATCTAGAAGTTCCTCCTCACGATTTCCCTGAAGATCAACTACTTGTTATTGGATAACAAATATAAAGACAATCATATCTAAAAATCTCCGTTAAACAATATATTATCTAAATTACGTCATATCTATTGGAATAAAAGTCGCGATTTATTTTTGTCACGTCAAAAAACATTCCTTGCACGCGTTATTAAAGAAAGACTTGTCACAATTGAACACTTAATTATGGACGAACTACTTTGTTGTTTAACATTAAGACCAAGAATTGAAGAAGCTGTAAAGAGATGCAAGTGCTCTTTTCATTAGTCTTGCACTCTTTTTTTGACGTTGTGAATATAGAAAATTAAATTGAATACATTTACACCTGATGATATTTATAGCAAACTTGAAGGCTTTCACAGATATAATTCATTTGTCACATAACGGACTGACTAAAAAACTCAGAATATCTTCACAGGACGCTTTGGAGCTTGTACAATGTATATACGAAAAGATATATAAAGCGCGGATAAAGCCAACCACTGCACTAAATCTAATAACTAATGAACAGCAGTATTTTCTTACCACAACTGATGAAATTCTTGATCAAATACTTGGTGGTGGAATATTATCACGCGGGATAACGGAGATTGTAGGTGAGAGGTAACTCAAAATTTTTAGCTGAATTTCAAATAACCAAAAAAAAAATCGAATACATATCTGACATATTAACAAAAAAAAATATAGTGCAGTCGGTAAAACACAGTTATGTTTACAATTATGCTTGGCTGCTCAATTACCAAAAGAATTGGGAGGTTTAGGAGGAGGTAACAACACGCATGTAGTCGAAATTTTTTCTTGTTATGCATGCATGAAGTCTTTTTCCTCAAATTTACTTTATATTAATTATAGGCGCAGTATACCTACATAGTGATGGCATTTTTCCTACACGGCGTTTCTACCAACTAATCAATAGATTTACCCGAGATTATGAATTCCTGAGTGATCTTGATCTTGGCGAGAACGTTTATTGCGCAACAATGTTGGATTTGAAAACCCTGTTTGACATGGTCAATTGTCAATTACCGCATCTACTCAAATTCAATAATATTCGACTGGTGGTCATTGATTCGATCGCATCAAATTTTCGTGGAGGATTCAGTAATCCTTCAGGCCTGCATCAACGCGCAAAGTTTATTTGCAAACTAGGGAGTAAGCTGAAAGAACTGAGCGATCAATTTCATGTGCCTGTCTTGTGTGTGAATGAAGTCTCTGATTATATATCAAATTCGATATTCAGCTCGAGAGAAAATTTCTGGGAACTTGGATATCAGCAGAGACAATTTGCTGCGACTACTAATGCTACTACCAATAATAATAATGTTAGTTTTATTCTTAATAATAAGAATCATGACGGAACAAAAATCCCTACACTTGGACTGGTATGGTCAAATACAATTAATGTCAGGATAATATTGACGAGACCTGAAAGAAGAATAAGTAGTAGTCGAACTATTCTGCGTCGCAAAATTTCAATTTTATTCTCACCATATGCTCCACAAAATTCTGGTGAATATTATATCGACGAGAATGGCATGCATGGATTGAGATCTAATGATTGAATGAATTGGTAGTCAAGATATTTTGATGTTATTAACAATCAATCCAATAAACGCATATAATTAGATTGTTCAAGACCTGTGTATATGAAATCTACACATTCAATGTATAAAGAAGTTATCAATATTTTATTCTTCGTGTTTTTTATATTTTCCGATATGATAATATATTTGAATCTGTATAAATTATAGAATTTTGAACTGTGATATGTTTTGTGACTAGTAATTAAAATTTGCTTAGCTAAACGTGCAATTGTCCATCTTAAAGTGAAAATCTTTTTGACGTGTTAATTAAAGACAATTCCTCAGAAAAGTTTACTATTACAATATATAAATTACAATTACAATGACAGAAACACCAAATCTAGTCTCTTAGAATTCCGACCTTTTATTATTATTATTATTATTGTTATTATTATTATTATTATTTATAAAAGGACACACTAGATCAGAAATTTGCTTGGTGATTTCTGGTTTAATTATCCAACTAATCGCCCACGGATGCAATTTAACATCAACACGAATGTTCAAGGTTGTGGCTTTGCCGCCTGTTAGTGATGGCAAACATGCCGATAGGAAGTCCTGTATAGTTGCATCATTTACATCTTTACCAACGTAATCTACCTCGATGGGAAAGTCGAGAGTTGATGTTTGACGTGGTGGTAATGAATACTTTGTAATCATACCAGTTGCTATTGGACGATCATAGCTAGCAATGGTATTTAAATCATAAACCTAACGATACAAAATAATTAAAGCCGATTGTTTATAATATGCAATAAGAAAGAAAAATTCTCCAACAAACCTGCGCCTCAATCTTATTAAATTTTATCGGAACCCAGTTTTCTGGATTTTTTATTTCAATAGTAATACTGAAATTCATCTTGATATATGGAGGATCAACACTAATGTTTGGCGTTCCATCAGCTTTTGCACCTAAAATTTGAAGTTCAGGAATACGTGGCCACACAAAAAATAATGTAATTCCCAAAGCCACGAGAATAAAAAAGACGATAAAGACACAAATTCGTCTAGAACAACAGCAACAACGCTTTCGCTGTTTCGGTTTAGTGAGAGATTCGGGATTGATTTGATTGGAATTGGATCTTAGGATTCCGCCTGTTCCTCCTGCCGAATCCAGAGTATCTGATGCATTATTCAAGGTATCTTCTTCTTCTTTCACTGGTAAATTCATTCGTGCACGTTCATCAAAATCATCGGGTGCACGGTTATTAAAATCACTATAGACATCAAATGAACCTCGTGCTGGAGCTTGTGGATTTTCACTATAACCTCGACCACCACCACCACCATAATATTGGCTATTATTGTTATTGTCATAATTATTGCCATAATAATTATTGCCATAATAGTCACTGCCTGCAGTATCTCTACGATAATTACCATACTGATCTGTTTGACTACCTGTTCTATAATGTCCTGCTGTCTGAGCATCATAATTATAATTTGAATCTGGTCTATAATAGGGAACTTGTTGACCTCCACCTCCACCACCACCACCACCAGGCGTAGTCAATATCTCTTCCTCTCCTTCTCCTTCTCTTTCTCTTTCTCCTTCCCTCTCCCTCTCTTGATAAAATACATCCGTAGGACTTGGTTGTGAATATTCTGAGGAAGCTACGGATCCTCTTGTGTTTCGAGTATTATAACCCGGGACGTTTGATTGTGAATCTCGATAACCTGCATGTGGAAATGGTCAAAAAATAGTAAGTAATTTGATTTGGCTCAGGTCGATTTTCAACATGCTTCCTTGCAATCGAAAACATACAACAAAACGCTATCTAGTATTACTCTACTCAACATCACCTTCGTTAATGTACTCAACCTACCTCTTCCTTTACGGGACATTGTAGAACTACTTTGATTTTATATGCGTATATGTACTTTACAAAAAATGTCGGAAATGTAATATTCTATATATATTTATCGTAATACACGAAAATGAGATATATATACATTAAACGTAAATCTTATACATATAATGCGTTATTATGCCATCATAACATCGTTCATTCGTCATGGAGGCTTAATAATAAAATCAATATGATGGAATCAAGGCTTGGCAATGGTCAGAAAAAAACACACTGTCGAGATATACAATCACAATCAAGATGAAACATGGGACCATAGGGGTCCAAACTTCTTAATTAACAAGTCATTGACATCAAATAGTCGTTTGATCAACTCGATTATGTTCCTTTCTTTTGTTCAGTAGGCACAGCCCAAGAAAGAATTTTCCAACTAACGCTTGTATGGCGATTAAGAAAAACGGTAAGTAATAAGCAAAAGTTTATTTGTTACACGGAACTTGTAAATTTGGGATTCTGGTATTTATTTGTTTATTTCATTGAAAGACAATTTAAAGTTAAGTTTTGTTGGTGTATAAGCACATAGAAAAGAGGTTTTGATAGCTGTAATAAATGGCTTTACTTCAGTGATTACAGTTTTGAAAAATATTAATTAATTAAAAGCAGCTCGGAGTTAACGTTAATGTTGATATTCTACATTATATGTGTTGTTTCATTCCATTTACCGAACATTTCCTAATTTAGGAGTGATCAAATCGCAATATCGTAATGAAAAAACGTCAATTTTTACTATGACAATTAGCTTTCGACCTCTAAATAAAGATGCTCAGCGCGAAATGTTAGGTATAACGATGTCTTTTTTGAGAGCAGTTTGTTAGGTTCGCACTTTATCTGACGAAATTTCTATTAATTTGTATGTTACAATCAAAACTCGTTATAGTGAAATGGTTTTTTTTTCAATATAGCTAATAATAAATTTCCTATATATATCATTAAAAATCTGATATCAATGATGTATTTAATAACAATTATTAAAGAGAAAACTTTTTAAAGTTATTAAATCTTGGTTTATTGGTAAAATCAATCAACAATTTATAAGAGTTATAAATTGCTAAAAGAATGGTGTGGCAAAATTGCTCAGTAAATTTATTTTAATAATTAATAAATAATAAAAAAATAATATAATAATAATTATAACATATTACAATAATAGTAGATTTATAACTCTTTACTCTTGGAACAATTAAAATAAAAGAACTTTTTTGACTCAAAGATATAATTTACTAATCTTAAAATTTACAATAACAATTTAAAGAATTTGAACTCCGATAATAACTTCAAAAGGTACTTACCGCAGTATTCCGAATATAGAAATTTTTCATTAGGGTTGCTAATTGTAAATTTTTGTGTGACCTATCTAGTAATACAGTCTCCCATGACCAAGTACAGTGGGCCCTGGATACAGTAAGGACAACATCTCGTTATAAAATCTTTTCCCCGATCTCATTACTGTAATAACCTTTTATTTTTTCGATAGAGTAACATCTCGATATAATAACACAAAATCTCTTCCCCCGATCACGTTATTGTATCCAGTGCTCACTGTACATGTGGATTTGTCTGGTTTTCCTTCACGCTATCGCTATACGATCTTTAGTTCTAAATCTCACAAAGTAAGATGAATAAACATCGACGGTTTACAAAACTTCCCGATGCAAGCGATGCCTCACTGGAAAGCCCTTCTATACCAATGACGGCAATAACATCTTCAAGTCAGACAAGCATGCGAAATGAAACGGCTGGTGAGTTGCAGTCTCATATTGTTCATTTGTCGCATACACGAAGAGGCTCTGTGCCGGGCATTGACTTAGAAGAAGACTGGCCGCTTACTGAAATTCCTCAAGAACTAAGAGAACCTGAAGCTGATAACGATGACAACGCGGCCAGTAATACAGAGGCAAATTCCATGCGAAATGATTGGAAGCGAGAACTGTTTCTTTTATTAGAAGATCCGTCGTCAAGCCGCCATGCTTTTCATGTGAACGTGTTTGTTTCGTTTTGCATTGTTCTTAGTGCTGTTTTGACAACCATTGAAACGATACCTACCTTTAGATCGACAGATAGCTCAGTATGGTTAGTTTCATTCGAATTTATGAAGATATGGTTCAATTATTAAATATCTATAACTAAAAAGCAATATATAATGAGATAGGTTCAATTTCGAAACGACAATAGTTGTAATATTTACCATTGAATATATATTACGTGTGGTGGCACATTCTGATAGCTCGCGACAATTATTCAAACATGTCACTGGTAAAGATCTTTAATCATTTTGAAATTATTCGTATGTGAAATCTTTATAAACTTTTCCCCCAATTTTACACAATCCTGTGAAATTTGGAAAAGCAAAGAGAGAACATCCAGTTTGACGTTTATGTCATTTATCACACAATAACCAACATACATATCAACATTTCGTTTAACTTGATTTCGCATCTTCGCTGTCGCGTTATTATCGGTAATTGGGACAAACAGCTCCTCTGGCGGTTATCGATTTTATTGCTATAGTGCCTTACTATATTGAGTTGGTGTTTCATCATGATACGGTATTTTAAATTTTTATAGTTATTTATTTTGATATGGATTTATTTTATTACATTATAATTAAAATTATTATTTCAATAGACATATGATTTTCGATTTACTATTCTCCGTTTATTCCGTCTTCTTCGTGTCTTCAAAGCTTTTAAATACTCCTCTGCTATAATAATGACTATTGAGGTGATGATTGTTGCTGTGAAAAGGAGTATTGATGCTTTGAGTGCATTGTTCTTTTTTATGGTCACGAGTGTTGTTCTCTTTTCCACGTTATTATATTTTGCTGAGCGTGGTGTGTATTTTATTGTTTGTCTTGTATAGATTTATTCATGAATTTAATGTTTTCATCTTCTGTTTGTCGAAAAGGTACTTGGGATCAAGAAAAGCACACTTTTGTCGATGCTAAAGGAAATCCAAGGTAATTTGATATTGTGTATATTTTATTTTTTTTTATTAAAAGCTCATTTTTAATTTTTATGTTGATTATCAGTGTTTTCGATAGTATCCCTTCGGCATTTTGGTTTGTGATGGTCACCATTACGACAACGGGTTATGGTAAATTGGTTACCCTTAACTTCTTTTTTTTTTGTTTTTAAACCACTTGATTCGTAACTATCATGAATATTATTAGGCGATATGGTTCCAACCACTTTTATTGGAAAGTTAATTGCATTTCCGGCAATGATGTGCGGGATTCTGGTGTGGTTCGCATTAAAACAATTTTTTGGTTTTAATCCAAAAATAAAGCCTTTGTTTATTTTTTTAAAATCTTTTATTATATAGTTGATTGCACTTCCTTCAATTATTGTGGGGAGAAATTTCACTTTGGTGTGGGAAGCAATGCGACAATATCGTAGGACAACACCAAGTGTCCGAGTACGTATCATTATGCAAAATATTGTTATTGTATTCAGTTTACTTTATTTTGATGGATGATTCAAGCTTGGCTCTCATTAGGAACAGGCAAATAATGTCACGGAAATGGAGGATAATGGCACCGGATACACAATAGGTAAAAAATAATCAATTATCATTTAATAGTATATTAAGTAATATATTACCGTTTGCCCAGGAAACGACATACGTGCCAGTTTTGAAAGCACACGGTCATATGCATCACAGTCCGCGCGTCCTGGTTATTCTGTACTTAATGATGACATAGTAGCCAATCAGGACGCATTATTAGAACAAGTGCGCACATTACTGAACTTGGCACAACAAAATCAAATTGCCCTGCAACGTATACAACAGACGTTGGAGCAGAATGGGCTCAAATGGAATAAACCAGGTGTAGCAGCTAATATTTCTGTTCCTGAGAGAACTATGAAATCTGACGATACATGACAAGAGAATAAGTCATATATATATATATATATATATTGATACATTAATTTATTTGTTAATTTGAGTTTTTCAGTTAATCATTTTATATTATTGAGAAAACGGCAGGTCAGAAGTTTTAGATAAAAATTCATTGCTTGAAAAAATAAGTTGTTTATTCTATTCTCTTTGTATATAAAGCTATTAATATAGAGTAACTAGTTAATATTCGAGAATGAAATTCTCAATACTTTAAGTCCATTTAGATTTCATAAAATAAATATAACGATAACATTTTGATATCACGTTATTGTAAACATTTTTTAATCAGACCAATATGCAAATGGGTAATCAGTACTGCGCCACTGATTTGCAACATTAATTTACATGAAAAATTTTTCCTCATCATTAAACGTTGGTATAACGTTGTCACATAACTGATCGGGAATACTCTAACATGGTAAGTTTTATGGCGATATCGAAAAATAAAAGGCATCTGCAAGGTTGAATTATATAGCTCAAGCTTGGTTGAACTTTTAAAAGTTGGATTTCAAAAAATTAACACTTCAAATAACAAAGAACAGGACAAACTATTAAAGCATTCATAATATAAGCTGAAAGAGCAAAGAAAGCCTCAATATATTTTACTTACAAGGACTATTTTAATAACAATAATAGGTCAAGAAGGAGGCCGCCGCAAAAAGTTCCTCGTCCGGGGGTAAAACTAAGAAAAAAGTTAAATTGATCATTGATAATTATTTTTAAACAAGATTCGAATTGTAAATATAAATCTCATAAAAATCAACTCTAATATTTGTAGAAATGGTCAAAAGGAAAAGTCAAGGATAAAGCAAATAACGCCGTAATCCTTGACAAGCCGACGTACGACAAACTCTTCAAAGAAGTTCCCACATATAAATTAATCACTCCTTCAGTATTGGTCGATCGTTTGCGTGTCAATGGATCACTTGCACGTGTTGCTATTAGAGAGCTGGAAGAGAAAGGATTAATCCGAAAAATTTCAACTCATGGATCTCAGCTTATTTACAGTAATTATTGATATGTTCTTATCTCGCTCTCTGATATTAATTGGGCTTTGTTTAATCAATTCTTTTTCTTTGTGAAATCTTAAACAGCTCGTGCCACTGCAATTGTCGATAAACCAGAAGCATAAGACTTGCATCGTATTTTATACCATATTTGAATTCTTCAAAATATCTCATTTCGTTTCTCGAGTATTTCGCTCTTTCGTTTCGTTTTATCATTTTTTTCGCTGTTTTATCATTTCGTTTTATCGTTCTTCGATATATTTACAGAACAGAACCTATATTGTTTTTATACATCTCTCTTATAACAAAACAAATTCGTTATTTTCTTTAGTTACTAAAGTAATTTATACATTGATTTATAATCGATCAAAATTAAGAGATTTGTTCATTTAGAAGTATGTTGAATATTGTTCTTCATTAGCTTTAGTTACTAAAGATAAAGTTGCCATGTAATAATTTAAATATTGTTTATAAAAAGTAAACAATAAAGATAGTATTGCATAAATTCTTTGAATATCAATTTCTGATTTCAATATAAACATTTATTATCAGATTATCCTTTCTTGTAGCTAGTATTGCTAACTTCTCGATCATGACTACCTTGTTCCAAGTACATCTTTAAGTAATTATTTGATTAACCCATTAATTGAGCATTGTCATCAGGAGGATACTTTGTTTGACAGAAACTTAATAACCGCTTAATAGATTGAATCCATTTTCGTGTAGTTTCATCATTGAGCACATGCGCAACTTGAGCTGAGAAGATTTTCTCACGAGCCGAACGTTCATGAATACCAACCATCGTGACACCAATAGGCCATGGTGCATTGCCTATTGACAAACGAAGATACGCGTCGCTTGCATTGATGTATTCTCGCTTTTGCATGAAATGTGTGATTTCTGTGACTCGTGCTAATACATCTGGTTCTATCGACTAAAAGCCAAATAATATTATTAATTTTGTAGTTTATTGAAGGTAAAGATTAAATTAAAATTTGGTGGATAACAATAAAACGAACTTTTTTCTTTAATGATCTGAAAAATGGTTGAAGATATTCGTTGGTTTGTCGTTGAATCGCCGCTGCTAGTTTTCCTTGCGTACTTCGTTTAACATTATCAAGACGATTGTTCATTTCTTGTTCCCATTCTCGTAAAAGTCTCTATAATTTAAAACAAGTGCATATTTTTTACTTGAAAAACTTTTATTCGATATTGTATTAGCGAATGACAAGATGTTTACCTTAAAGAATGTGTAAATAAGTACATAGAGTTTGTCGGGATCTTTATCTAATAAGTCAATGCTAATAAAAGATGTATCCAATGCAGAATCTTCTATTGCTTTCTTTTTGGAAGAATCCCCATTTAGTTCTTCGTCTGCTGTCTTCTTGAGAGCTTCCAAATCAAGCCCAGTCTCCATTTCTTCCAATGTTCTCATAAAATCATTGCGTTGACCCTTTTTTTTTTTTTTGTAAATGAATCACATAACAAATCAATAAAAATAAAAAACATACATAGATTTCTCATATCCCCTACCTCTGTCCTTTCTTCAATTAATTCAATTGCACGCAAACGAATTTTCCTTTCTTTATCCGATTCACCAAATAAGCGAATCGGTTGTCCTTTGGCCCGAAGGCGACGCACCACCTCTTCAGGAGAAATATTGAATGCATCTTCTTTTTGATCTTCCTCTTTTTGTGTCATATCACTATCGGAAGCAGATTTTTCAGAGTATTCTTGTTCAGCGACTAATTGAAGCATTCGATTTTTTTCCTTTTTTTTTTCTTGTCTTTTCCTTTCGAGCTCTTCTTGTTCACGCAAGTACTCTTGTTCTCGATGTTTTTCGAGATCTGCCCGTCGTACATATTTTTTCTTTTTTGGGCCTTCTTCTGGTTGAACTGTCTCTAAAATTTTACGCTTTTTCTCGATCTCGGCTTTTAGAGAATCCATGTTGGATATAAATTTTTAATTCTAAAGACTAGATTTTGTTTGTTCTAACGCCAAGTAAATATTCAAACCACGTTCAAAACAGTGTAACACTAAAATAGAACAATGCAATTATTAGATTTCTCAATTTTGAATTTTAGGCCAACACTAATCTTATCTCTCTTACCATATCGATATAAATATAGAATCAAATTTTATTTTTTATAATTACAAGAAAAACTTTTCAACCACGATTATCCAAAATATGAGTTTGGATGTATTATTCTTTCCAACTTCTCAAGATTCAAAGGTTTGATATATTTTCTATAAAAATCCGAATTTCACAGGTGTAATGCGGGCCAATTTTGGAACTGCAGATTTTATACATATTAATTAATATGACCAATCAGAGCTTGTGATTTATAATATCACTCTCTACAGAGGGGACCATGTATGCCCAGAGCGAGTTACCATAAGATTTCTCTTGACATTTTTAAAACATTTTGTACTACTTTCCCTTTACGTTTGAAATTTTAAATTGTGGCGATCCGGATCTTTTATTTCCTCTAAGAAAATGGTCTAGCAAAATCGACTACGGAGAAAAAAATGGATTTTACTCAAATTTTGCCTTCAGAAGTAACAATTGATCTCTTCAAAAATTTAGACGCAAAAAATTTATGTAGTTTATCACTAGTTTCACGTAATTGGAATATTTTAGTCTCTGATAATCATTTATGGACCGAGATTGCTTTAAAACGATGGGAGAATAAACAAGGAATGAAAGAAATATGCACAGACACTCATTCTTTATGGTATCTAAAACCCGGTACTTGGAAGAAGGCTTATATTTTGGTGGAGAAAGAAGCTCATCGGACCAGGTTGGAAATGGAAGATTTGTGCGAGACTACTTGGATTTTTAAGGTTAGAATATTTATTTTTTACTTGGCGTAGCGTTATTTTTCTATCGGTTCGCAAATTGGAATTTTTCCTTAATTTTAAAGATGATGAATTTGAATTGTTTTTTCTGCATCATTTTTCATGATTCTTTATCATCTGTGATGAAATTTTTCGAGACAAAGTATTATCAATGATCAATTATAAATATTTCAAATTCGAGCAAATTTAATCCCCAAAAAGCTAAATATTGAAGACTATCAGCACAATTTTTTCTGCAGTTTAATAATGCGCTAGCATTTCATGCTGGATCACCGAAATTCTTACGAAATGGCAGATACATTCACGAGGGAATGATGGATGGTACACTTCCTGTAAGTCATCTATACGTAATCAAAGAAAGTCATGACTGAATTATATACATCATGCTCAAATAATTAAGAAACTATAAAAATAGTGGAAATTCACAAATGGTTGTGTGCGCGTATCACAATTCCCACATCTCAGTCCATCACGACCAGATCCAACAGATCATAAATCCGATTGGGGTCTAAAATTAAAAAATGTATACGTCACTTTTAGTTCTGTCGATCATACGGGATTTCAACGACGATTAAGGGAGTTTAATTGTGAATTGGCATTGGAACTTGGCATTGATTATCCAACGGAGGCAGTTAATATTGATAACAATATTGATAACAATATTGATAACAGTATTGATAGCAGCAGTAGCAATAATAATATTGTTGGATCTTCTTCACTTGCTAATATTTCACCAATTGGACTAATAGAGCAACAAGAAGACAGCGATGATAATTCTTTTGAACGTAATATTGAAAATATTATTATGAATAGACATTACTCCTATTTTTATGATGAGGACGACGATTCCAATGAAGATAATGATAATAACAGCAATACTAATAATAATAATCGTCAAGGGTCTTCAGAACATTACTTAATGTTTTTCTCGTACTAGTTTTTATTTTCATTTCTTTAACCAATCAAACTCTTAAAACATGTTTTTACTGTTGATCTATTTTTTGGTATCATGAAATAAATCATACACATTTAAAAAATTCAATGATGATGACGTAATGGTTTACCAAAAAAGTACAAAAACCTAGCCTCGGCGAAAAAAGTGTCAGATCACGTGCCAAGGAAATGAAAATGCAAAAAATACGGGAAACAGATGCTTGGTACACCAAAAAAATGTCGGGAAGACAATTTTACATATAATCCTGGCTCCAGCTCTAACCTTAACCCTAATCCTAACCTTTAAATTAACCTTTAACAATTACGATAACCTTTATTACCGTAGAATTTTTCCGGACCTACACAAATATCACATGATCTGACACTTTTTTTGCCGTGTCTAGGTTATTATTACCAAATACAAATAGATCACCAATAGTGAATTACATACCACAATGGACACCGGAATTGCGCGCAAGACTTTTGAATTTGCAAACAACATTGTCGAAGTAGATCCAGCACATGATCAACTTTACCAATTTGATAGCTCCGAGCAATCGCAAATACTCAATGCAAAACCATGGGCGACAGACCCTCACTACTTTAACAAAGTACAAATTTCCGCGGTTGCACTAATAAAAATGGTGATGCATGCTAGGTCTGGAGGCAGTATCGAAGTAATGGGACTGATGCAAGGAAAAATAAGTGGGAATACAATGATAATCATGGACGCGTATGCATTGCCCGTTGAGGGAACCGAGACTCGAGTCAATGCACAAGAACAGGGTTATGAATACATGGTTCAATATCTGACATTAATCAGACAAGTTGGACGTTTGGAGAATGCAATTGGATGGTATCATAGTCATCCTGGTTATGGTTGTTGGCTTTCAGGAATTGATGTTACCACACAAATGACAAATCAACAATATCAGGATCCATTCGTGGCTGTCGTGGTAAATCTTTATAACTTATTAAATTGTTATAAATCTATTTTGTGTATAATATAAGAGTTTTATATAAATTAGATTGATCCTAATCGAACCATATCGGCGGGTAAAGTTGAAATAGGTGCATTTAGGACATTTCCGGCGGTAAGATATATCATTCCTCGCCTTAATCCCCATTTAGATATTAACTTTTACTTTCAAATTCATTTTTTTAGGGATATAAAGCTCCTGATGATGGTCCTTCAGAATATCAAACTATACCGCTGAGCAAGATTGAAGATTTCGGTGTTCATTGCAAACAGTAAGAATCAATTAAATATCATTTTCTCATTTTTTTTTTGATTTGTCTCTGAAACAATTTTGAATTATATTCCATTAGATATTATCAACTTGAGATTTCAAATTTCAAATCCACTTTAGACACACATTTACTGGAATTACTTTGGAACAAATATTGGGTTAACACATTATCGCAATCACCTCTTATTACAGTATGCTATTTATTCATTTCTTTATTTTGGTTAGCTTGTTTCTGTTCTTACAAAGATTTCATACGCCCGATACTTTATTATTATTTAGAATCGAGAATATGCAGCCAGACAAATTAAAGATCTCGCGGAAAAACTAGAACAAACAGAAACACAATTACAACAAAGTGGCAGAATATCGGGATTTATGAGTGGAGGTAGTGGTAGTCGTGCTCCGCATCCTGCTGCATTACAATCCACCACTGCTACTTCACCAACTTCTTCATCCGCAACATCATCGTCTGCAGCTGGCGCTCCCAGTAATGCTGGTGTGTCTGCTGCGGCTAGCAATACAACATCAGAGAAAAAGAAAATAGAAGAAAGTCCATTAAGTAAAGTTACAAGGGACAGGTATTTGTATTATTATTGTTGTTGTTGTTGTCAGAATTTAACGAGTTTGGAATTGATGAGAAAATTCTTCATTTAAACTTAAAAGCACCAAAATCACGGTTGAAGCCGCGCATGGTCTAATCTCTCAAGTTCTAAAAAATGTCTTGTTCAATAAATCATATGCTAATTGAATTAATTCAGTACTATTCTTGAATAAAAATAGCCTTCTTTTTCTTGGCTGCTAACGATTGATTAAATTCCACGCGGAATAACATTTGGCGGGCGAATATTTATTTTACATGCCTTTCGTCAATATCTATTCCTTGAATATCATATACCTTCTGTATTTCTTCTTTAATGTAATCCTGGTAAATATCTCACCCCATAATTCTTCATAAAATGCTTGGGTTATTTAACCAAGCAAAGGTTATTTTTTTAATCATTGATGGAATTACTTGGAGAAAAGAAATATTTTCTCCTAATATTTAGTAAAAATAACATGTGATTTAAAATAAAGGATGATTGAATACTGCCATTTTTGACAATGAATAATTGCTATACATCTTATACATCTCCAATAATGAACGGTAATCTAATATATTCAAATAGTCGTTTCTATGTTTCTATACTATAGAAACATAGAAACGACTATTTGAATATATTAGATTAGTGGTTGGATTCGAATAAAAATATTTTTTCATCAAATATAACGAGTAACATGAAGTCATCGATCGCAGGACATCCATTCGTTATATATAAAATTTAATATGCAAGGAGACAATAGTGATAAAACAAAAACATTCACAATGCAATATACATGGGGATGTATACGAATAATAATTACTCGAATCTAATCACTATTTTATACCTGCTAAGATCAAACTCACAATAATTCATCAATTATACTCGTTGAAATAAAAATTGAGAAATAAATAAAAAATCCCTTGACCAAATATTTATCAAGTCACAATAAACATTGACCAAATAATTCAACGTTAAAGTTTAAATGACATTTATGGCGTAAATCAAAAGTGTGATGTTGAATATGTTCGCGTTTTTTATTTATCGATAAGGCTGTACCCAAAAATTGAAACTTGATAAACTTTCTATTCCCATGCCAATAGTTCGGATATTATGGGTTAAAGAATCACAATTAATGAAAAGAAATTTATAATACTCGATTGTATTCAATTTTAATTAATCCCCAAATTTTTCAATTTGCAAATAATTAATGACTTTTGTTCATGAAGCTAATAAATGGACTTTTCAACACGTGTTCCTGATTACTACAATATTAAATGACATTTGTTATAAATAATCTAGGGCATACAAATAGAGTACGTATGGTGCGCCCACTCTAAAACCATCCAATATTTTAAATTGCAAAAACTTTGTATCTAAATATGTAATTATAAAAAAGAATACATTG